GTATATATATATATTTATCTGTATATATATATATTTATAATGTATATAGAAATTTAAAATATTTCATCTTTTAAAAAATAACTTCTTTTTTTAAAAAAATGTAAATCTAAGGCTCTCTTCCCCCCAACCCCTTCCCTCCCGCCACCCCTATGGCCTTTAGTACTCCCACCCTCTAATCAAAGATAGGAGGGAACTAGTTAATCCACCTCTCAGCCATTCTGGTGCTTGAGAGGAAAAGGTGGAAATGGATAAAGAATCCCTAATACCTTTTCCCCACAGATAGGGAGTACTCCCCCCAACTTCAGAGATGGCATCCTTCCCCCGCCTCCTGCATTGGCAGATTGGGGCAGAGTGGCACAGAGAAAGGGCCCCCTCTTGCAGTGGGGGAGCGTTGGTCACATGACGCTCTCCAAGATGACAACTTTGGCACCCCCATCCAAGACAGGGGTGAGGGTAGTCAGAGCATCTGTTTCGGGCACCTTGTACTCTAGATGATGCAACCCCCAGATCGGCTGGGTGAGATGGTGCCAGCGCTGTGAAGAAGGAGAGAAAGAGAGGTTTACAGGTGGGGATTGGCCCAAAGTTCAGAAATACATTTTTGCCTTCAGCTCTATCTTTCTTTCATGCTCTCCTAGAATCCCTCATGAGACACTCCTCATCCTTGTGATTCATTCATATCCATTCCACATTCTCTCTCTCTCCCCCTCTCTCCCTCACACACACTCAAAGATTAATACTTCAGCTATACTGCTGACATTGTTTTGTAGTTAATGCCTTCCCCCATATAGTAGCCCATTATTATTTTTTAAATGCACTGTTGATAAATTTCTGGCAGGGCAGTCTTGCTCATCTTTTCAGAAGCTGTGATGGCCACAAATCCCTGCTGAGGTCACATGGGCATGAGAGAAGGGAGGGCACCCATCCTGTTCTGAGGGGTGTAAAGGAGGTTTTCCAGTTTCTACCACAGAGAGCAGTGGAAAAAAAAGCATTCCTGCCAACTAAGAGATTCTACACCTCTCAAGAACAGGGTGGAGGAGAGTGTTGGATCTGGCAGATTCCAAGACCTCCCCCCACCCCCCGTCTCCTTTTTTCTCAGTGCTGGGACAGGCAATGTGTGGGGGGAAGGGAAAAGATGCCCAAAGTTTCAGCAGGGCAGAAATGCCTACTTTCCCACTCCCACCAGTTCTCCCCATGAAACAAGTAGAAGAGGCCTGGAAGGCTCTCACAGACAGGAACAGAGCCCCAGCAGCCCAACTGACAACTGCAACAGCCAAACTGGGTCTGAGCATGAGGGGACTACACCAAAGAAAAGAAGAGGTGGCTTGCTACCCAGCTTGCTTGTGGTCAGCTTGGGCAAATGTAGGTATTGCAACACCTGCCCCATTCTCAGCCATGCCTCTGCTCTGGCAGCTAGCAATGCCAAGGCTTAGCGTCCCAGGTGTGGTTTCAGCACATGCCCACAATCCTGATGTCCCTAATGCTCCCATCCATATGTTTGCTGCAGATGATGGCCAGGCGGTGGCAGTAGCAAACTCTGCTTCCTGCCGTTGTTTCCTGGAAGAACGTTTGAGGTGGAAAGCTCTCCCCAGCCATGTGTAGAGGTTGGGCCCTGGGGCCTGAATCCCACCCTCCTGTTCTGGTAACATGGGAGGAAGCCTCACCTCAGCCAGCGTTCCCTTGGCACGGATGAATTTGTAGAGGGCGGTAAGTGGGACACATAGCATGGAAGAGAGTGCAAAGCCCCAGCCAATGGCTTCTCCCCACCAGGGGTAGACGTAGCTGTTGTTGTAGATCAATGGCTTGTAGTAAGCGATGTTGAAAAGAAAGATACCCTGGAAATGAGTTACCAATGGGTTAAAACATGCCTTCTTTTTCTTCCCAGCTTCTAGCCCTAAAGCAGTTGATACCCATAATGATGTATCCCAGATATGACAAAATAGCTTATACTCTTCTAACCTCATTTTTGCTTCCTTTGTAGAGAAAGAACCTGGGCATGAACTTGGTCATTAAAGAAAGGCCATGGAATTCAGAGTGACCTTGGGACAGGTATGAGAGAGCCATTAAGGGGAAAGGAAAGAATGAGTCATTAAAGCGGGGGGGGGGGCTTGGAGAAGAGATTACACAACCCTGAGAGAGATGATTGGCCCGACCCTACAGGCCTTCAGAAAGGCAGTACAGTACAGTACTGTAAAAGAAATTACTCTTTCCCTGGGCACTTGGGTCAGACTAGGTAAAGTTCCCAACTGGTGAAAGGTAGGATATTTTAGTCCCGATCACTCTTTAATGGTTTTAGTTTATTTCAATGGTAGGTATTAGTTTTCTTTTGTATTTTTCGTGATTTTATACACTGCCCAGGGTCACATTGTTTGAGTTGGGGGGCCACATACACGTCTTAAATAAATAAATAACTGGAAACATGAGGGGGGAAAATTAAAAGTAACCTTTCCTTGATTTTGTTTAGTATACGATAAAGCAGAGGGAGAGGTTTTGAGATCCTGTTATTCTACCTCATTACAATAAAGATAATAAATCCCTGCCATGCCGATTTCTCAACCTGGCCTAACTTGGAAGGCTCACAGGCAGCCACCTAACCTAAGCTGGAAAGGCTTTAGCTAAGATTCTGTGTTTAAGCTCAGGAATGAAATGCCCACTTCTTTTTGCTGATCCTTCCCCGATATCTTGCCCCATACATAGTCCAGTTGACCCAGAGACTGAACAGATTTTTCCTTGCTGAATTTCTGCCTGTTACATGCCCGAATGGAATTAGGAACATGAACAGATTTCTTCTGGGCCTGTGGAGAACTCTAGCTTTGCCACCCATTCCTCTCCCACTAAAAATCCTCCAGCTGTACCCCAAAATTACCAGGCAGATGAGAGGGGTCAGGACCATCCAGCACCATTTCATCCAAGGAAAGGGCCGGTACCCAATCATGCAGGCAATGTCATCCATGAAACGGTCAGCCCCTGGAGGGAGATGGGAAGCAGTGAAAGAGTGAGAGATTTCTCCTAAGAATATCAGAGGAGCCCTGCTGGATCAGACCAGAGGGGGATATCAAAAGGACTAGGCCTGCTTCAGACATTATTTGGAAGAAGTGCCTTGGATCTTGCATGATCACAGAACCTCTGGGGTTTTTAATGAACACAGGCTCTATGATTGCCCTACATGCAAAGCCACTCTTCTGACTAATTTCTGAAGTGTACAGAGTTCTAATGTCCATCCAGCCTCTTATTCCCCACAGTGGGCCACCAGGGCTAAGCGAGGCACGAGTCTCCCTGTGAGACAAGGCCAAAGGGGTCCTCAAAGTCTTTAGTGGAAGCTTCCTGCACAGCTCTGCTTCAGCTCAGCAGCCCAGCCAGTCTGCTTCTCCCCCCCTAATGACTGCAGATAAAATGGGGACCTTTCAAGGACACATCTATGTCTCAGCAGCCCAGAGTGGAAGGGAAAACAGAGGTAATCTTGATTGGGGATGGCACGTAATGATATGTCCAAAGTCCAACCTTTGACCACATTAGTTGCATATACAAGATCACAACTCTTTTTACTCCTGACAAATTAAATGGAAATAGTACCTTCTCTTGGCTTTGAGCACTACAATCAGAGAGGGGACAAGGTCAGGTCAGGGGGCTTTAAATGCTGCCAGCTGTGTTCCCAATTAATAGGGTAAAAGAATGGCAATATGGGAGGATTCCCTCCCCCTTCCAAATTCCAATGTCTGCTATGAGTGGAATCTAAACTGTATTACTAATTGTGAGCTCCAAGTTGGAAAGTGATAATTAAAAATGAGCTGTACGTGTCATGCTGGGTAGGGTTTGGCTCCACACTGGAGCATGTCCTGACAGGGTGAGGGGGAAAAAAAACCACCCTTTAATTACTCTTTGGCCATGCGAGGGAGCGTGAGTGTGACAGGAATCTCAGAAGCTAAATAGGGTCATGCTTGGTTACTATTTGGAGGGGAGATCTGAGAACTGCTTGTTAGACTGGGAAGTTGAAAAAAATCTCAGAGAAAGGCAATGGTATATTACTTCTCTAATGCTGCAAGAAAATTCCAGGGATGCAGTTGCAAAAAGTCATGCTTGACTTAAGGGGGTCTTCTGCTTAAAGCCAAAGGGCCTGAGCAACGCAGCATGTGGTACATTTGTTCCTGGACTGTCTGATTTCACACTGTAAATGTGTGTGTATGAATGATGGTAAATGGAGTTCTCTGTTTTTTTTTTTTTAAATCCCTCTAGAGTAGAATAGTCTGGCAGACTACTTTTTCACATGAATTTTTCTCCACATGTGAATAAGAGCTACCTAATTTCCCACTTCCCCCATGTCTCACTAGCAGTTTAAAATGGTAAATCCAGGACTGTTCTGTCACATCACATGCCCTTAAAGTAATCTGTGCTTGGTGACCTTGTCCCTCAGGCTCACTGAGGAGATGCATTGCTCAGATATACAATTTGTAGTTCGAGGTTGTTGTGAGGTTTAAACAGCTTTGGAGTCTTTTAGCAGGCAGAACAGGAAAACGGAGGCGCTTGTAATGAAAATGGGCATTTGGGCCAACGCGGTTATTTTATATGCACCACTGAAACCAAATAAACCAGAACAGCTTTCAAGGCCATGGGAGGAAAGACTTCAAGATAGATGGAACTTGGCCTTAGGGTGCTTACAAATGGGTCCCAATGCTCATAACCATCAGCTAAAAGGACAAGGGAAACTGTAATCAACTTTTAAAACGACATTATAGAGCATGTATTCTGTGTGTATGGGTGTGTGCGTGCATGCGTGCGCGCGCACACACACACACACCTGATGCTGCTAGTTCGTCTGCAGAGATGTGCCAACTCTTCCAGCCCAGCCAAGGCAGCACATGCAGGGCAAAGCTAGAAACCTTCCACTCCCTGCCTTGGCCTGCAAAGAAGAGCTCTGATGGCCTTGCACTTTGCCTTTCCAAGATAAATCGAGGGATGTGCAAGGGAGGTTTTTATCACTGACCTCCTTATTATTCACATTCCACTCACTCCTAGATCAAGATAAGTAGGGCTGCCAAAAAAGCAGCTCAGGCTATTAGCAAGGTGAGGGCCCTTGAGACTGCTAGGCTGGCCTTGTGGACCAGATGAGGCCAGGAGCCCAGACCCTTCCCATCTCTGTCCTACTATTCTGTTGTGTAAGGAGTGGCTGGGAGGCAAGGACAACGCCTATGGCCCAGTCAGTCTTGCAGGTAAAACACAACACTGTATTTGGGAGGAGGAAGAAAGTTTTGGCTCCTGGAATGAGTTTTCAATGCAAGGAATCAGGTCTCAGTGGGTGGAGGTTCTCTGCCTTTGACCATCTTCCTTTCACTTGTAAAAGACGGTGAGGTCTGATGTGTGATTTAGAGCTCCAAAGGGGCTGAATCGTACCCTTGCCTGTCACTCAGGTCCCTACTCTTATTCTGTCCACTCCTTCCACAAGGAGGACAGGGAGGGGAGCTCAGTCCACAAAGCCCCCTTTCTTTCAGCTGAGGAAACTGTGACCTCATCCTACTTGATATGTGGAAAGGGCAAGCCAGTGGGATGCAGGAAAGCCATAAGGGGCAATTCCAGAGCAGGATGACTTCTTCTAAGTCTCCATGGGATGTGTGTCCCTCTTTCAGCCCACTGATTAATCACTAAGCAACTTCTGAACTGCTCACGTGAACAAGAGAGAGAGAGAACAGTCTTCTCTAAACTGCACCCTCCAGATGTGCTGGACTTCTTGGCTAGGAATTCTAGGAGCCCAACACATCTAGGGGACTGGGACAGAGTCTTATAACTTTTAGGAAGGCATAACCCAAGCACCTTTCCTTTTACAAAATAAACATAGGACTGCATGCTTTATGTTGTTGCCTGTCTGCAAGCATATACACATATGCAAACCGATTACAAACTGTTATAAATGACTCGCCTTCCAAAGCAGGTTCAATGTCATATTTATTCCACTTGTCCTTTTGAGAATTAGATACATTTTTTTCTCTTACCCAGAGCGCCTGCTCTACTGATTTGTGACAAGCAGCTGACATGCTGGTTGATCTGTATCTAGTGTCAACATTGGGGGCAAAACACCTCTTGTTTTGCCAGCTTTGTTTCAGGCGATTCCCTAACCAACATGCAACTCTCTCTTACCATAAACCCAGGCGATGACCACGCACTCCCAGAAGGCCTGCCACAGTAGTGTTGTGCCACTCGCTGAATAGTAATCGAAGAGCTGGAAGACATACATGCCCCCCTAGGAGAGGGGCTGGCTGTGAGACAGCAGGATGCAACAGGGCACTTTCAAAATGGCCCCCCACACCCAGCTCCAGGCTCCTCCTCTTCCCTACTCAGGGCGCCTCCACAAAATTAGTTCTTCTAAGCAAGGTTGGCCCTGTCACAGAACAGTTGCTAGTGCAGCACATTTTTTCACAAGAGCCAGTGGGAGCAACATTCCTTTCCTAGCTCTGCTTTGGTGAATCCACTTCTGCTGCTTGGGAAACAGCCAGAAGAGAAGGGAAGATGGGAGGCACCTTGCCGCAAAGGGTAGAGTTGACAAAGCCACCTGGTATTCCTTCCCACACTCTTCACTGGAGTGAAAGAACAGGAACACATGGCAACTCCTCACCATGCTCTTTTCCCTTGTAGAGCAGGTTAGGGAAGGCAGTTGCTAAAACGTTCAGTAGTTTTACTTCCTGAGTAGGCAGCAGCACATGGCTGACTTTCTCTGGATGGGAAGCTGTGCAGGGTGAGGCTCAGTTAGAGCCTAGATGGGAGACCACTAGGGAACCCATGGCTGTAAAAAAAAAAATCCAGAAGAATAGAAACTACTTTGATATTGTGGTTGTGTCTACCAAGCCACCAAGACTCAAGCTCTGCTTAAAGGAGAGTTGACTTTCATTCTGCTCTCTAGCCAGGAGGGAGTGGGAATTGTGAAAGAAAAAGGATCAGCAGTTCTGAAGGTTTCAAGAAGGTTGGGACAGCAGGGAAGAGAAGGTTGAGCAAAGCCTTCTGCTCTGCACAGAGCAGTCAGGTTGCAAAGATGGGGAAATGACATTCTTTAAGACTTCCAGGATCCTTGGCAAGGAAGGACGTGAATCTTTGTGGCAGGGGATGAGCTTAGCCCTGAAGAATTCCTCAAACTTCTTATTTCTTGGCAGAGTTTGTTTTTTTAACTTTACTTTTTATTGAAAGCCATATTTTCAACATTATCAGAAAGAGGAGGGTTGAGAACTTCTCATCAAACATAAATCAACAGACAGATAACCTTTTCTATAAGCCAACCTACATCATGAGAACTCCTAACAAATACCTGGATGAGTAACCCAAAAGTGAAATAAAACAAATGTTCTGATAGTTCTTGGGAATACCAGAGGTAGAAAGAAAAGAAGGAGGTCTGACTGGAAGGAAAAAAGCTTTGTCATTCTGCTGGGCAAAATGGAGGGGTTCTGTTGGGAAGGTTAAGCTAGATCTGGGGTATTTCAAATCTTCTAGATCCAAATCCTTCTTACTTCCTGGACACACATTCAGAACAACAGAAGGAGGCTGGTCCCAGTACAGATGGAGCTTGAAAGAGAAACAATGGCAAAAAGAGAAAGGAGAAATCCCCTGCCACAAAGATTCACGTCCTTCCTTGCCAAGGATCCTGGAAGTCTTAAAAAATGTCATTTCCCCATTTTTGCAACCTGACTGCTCTGTGCAGAGCAGAAGGGAAGGAGAGAAGGGGGTTTCTCTCTCTCTCTCTGTGTAGAGGTATGCAGAGCGGAGTAACTGGGGAATAGCCATGGCAGGAACTTTCACCTGGAAGTTCCAGTAAGTTAAATAGCCTTACTCAAGTGACGCAAAAGCATGCACAAGGCCTCTTTTATTAAAAACAGACCTTTCTGTTTGAGATTCAACATATCACCAACACAGTAAGAGGTGAGCTGTCCCCTCCCAGGATAACAACTGGAGATACATTTCACGGCTTCTTTTCAGTCAGCTCCCAGAAGGGAGGGCAGGTATTCTCCAGCAAGGGAAGAGCAGCAGCTGGGTGAAGGTTGTCTCTCTGTGTCCCCCTCCCCGCTTGCGCAACCAATCAGGGGTAGGTTCAGGCGCTTTCTGGGCCATGGCAAGGCTTCAGGGATTCCCTTACACCTGTCAGCTGCTGCAGAGCAGGCTGCATCTGGGAATCCCAACGAGTCTTTTCTCCCTTCTTCAGGATGATGTCACTGCTCCAATACTGGCAGAGAGGGAAGCGTTTCAGTAACGCAAGAGGCCTCCCTGCCCTAGAAACACAGAGCGGTTGTGGCAGCCATCCTGATGGCTGAACGTTTCAAGGCACACTTCAGCCCCAGTCATGTGCTCTGGTTACAGTCAAAGTCCTCTGATGAAGTAATTTCTGGTTGGAAATCACCCAGTAAGGGCACCTATCTAAAAAGAGGAGGCCCTGCCCTAATTTTCTTCTTTCACACAATGGGCCCAATTGTCTCTGTCTCAAAGTGTAAGTTCCTAATCAGTCTTAAATCACTGCTTCTTGCTGGTTGGTTTAATGAACACCAGTTCTGCAATTAAAAGTTCACACAGCATATGAACCCTCCCCCACTCAAATCATAAGACAGTGTTGTCCAAACTTGGCCATTTTAAGATGAGTGGACCATGCTGGCTGAGGAATTCTGGGAGTTGAAGTCCACTCATCTTAAAGTGGCCAAGTTTGGACAACACTGTCATAAGGGGATAAGAAGGGAAGTACGATTATGACATCATAGTCCCAGGCCAATCAGTGCTGCGTAGAACCTGCTCCCATGTCTACCTCACTGAACAGTTTCCCTGACCTTGGCTCTGAAAGGAAACAGTAGGCCCAGCAGTCAGTGCTCTATACGTGCTTAAGCAGAGGATACCCGACTAATGTAAATGCAAGGGCCAGGATGTAAAGGGGACGCATTATAAAGAAGTCCTTAGTAAAAAGATGAGGAGCTGCTAATGGCCTAATGCTCCAGAATCTTGGATGGGAATCTACGAAAGAGAGATTGTAGCACTTTGTTTAGAACAGAGGTGGGAAATCCAAGGCCACCAAATATTGCTCCCAGCAGCCTGCTCCACTGATGAAGTTGGAACCCCACTCCTAGGATGCTTCAATAGGTATGATGCCAAATAGAGCCAGAATCATATTGGGTTATATTATATAAGTGGGAGCTCTCTGTATACAAGAACACAACATGTCAAATAGAAGGGCTTAATCTAATGCCAGAGAGAAGGATACCCACCTGCAACTTGAAATGGTACAGACAGTCCTCATTTAGTGACCACAATTGGGACTGACAATTCAGTTGTTAAGCAAAGTAGTCACTAAGTGAAACCACAACTGTGTTTATGATCTTACTTCAGCTTTCCTTTGCTTTACAGACCTGCAAAGGTCGTAAATGCGAGGATTGGTTGTAAGGTTACTTTGTCATCACTGTCGTAACTGCAAGTGGTTGCTAAATGAAGTAGTCACTAAACGAGGACTACCTGTACAGTAACCAACAAATCTTTTCAAATAAGTGGCCCTTAGCAAATACATCTCTTACAAATGCTTTGTTTTCATCTATCTGTACTGCTTGGCTCTTTGTACTGTGTGCATGCCATATATAAATAGTTCCACATTATGTAACCATAAGTGGGTATACTTGCCAATCTCATACAGTGTAAAGTAATTGTGAATAATTTACAACCACCCCCACCCCCACCAGGATTAAAGGAAAGATCTTTAGGAACACAGAGTTCATTTCATAGAAAGCCTTTCTCTCTCTTTCCCAAAATTAACAATGAAATCCCAATGTCTTCACTCAGAGAAGTCTCAGTGTTCTCAACTGTATCTGCCACCAGATAAACGTGCACAGCATTGCAGCCTACACCTTGATGAATGCCTGCTGTTTGGGAAACCCAAACAGTTATACACTTTAAGGTTTTGCAAGAAAATGCCAGCAAAAGAAGCCCTGGAAAGCTTTGTTGGACAAACCACACCAAATCAAAAGCTGTTACATGACCAGGATCTAAAGTTTTACAAGGAGACTTGCAAGCTGATTTACTAGCATGTGAAAACATGAATGTCTAGATTAGAACTGACTGATCAAAAGAACGAAAGCTTAGATTTATGTTGTCTGTATGTACTAGAATATGAAGCATGCTAATTCATACTTTTGTTTTAAGCTTATGTTTAAGAGCAGATTCTCCCTGCTGACAATTAAAAAATTGACATTATTTCTTGGTTGGCTAGATCTAGAAGGACAGAGGGTAGATGAATCTGTTCTGTTTTTTAAGCAGTCTGAACAATGCTAGGACAGTGCATTTTGTATGCCATGAAGGATGGCAATGTGATCTACCAGGCAAATCCCTCTTGCCAGACCCACAAGTAAGACCTTCCCATTCATTTCCATATTTGTGTAGGAAATTTTAGACATGGGGTCATCTCCTTGTACCTGTCTGAGAAGGAGACCTGAATTTTCTGCCTTGGTTGGTCACCTCCAGAATGTCTTGGGCTCTATCCTAAACTGCCCTTTTTTGTCTTTTTCAGACCTGTACAGCTCTGCCCTTCACCCAGCATTCCCCTCACTCCCTCCACCTCCATTCATCCAAGGGTGCTTCAGTAGTAGTCATACCTCTGTCACCATGGACAGCTCAATGAAGAAGCAGACCACACAGCAGATGGCCACGATGACCTCTCTCTGGAATCGGAAGGTGTAGGTGGACGGGAAGAAGTCCAGGATCCCAGTGATAAAGCCTTCAACACCCACGAACTGGTGTGGAAAGGGAAAAGAAACAAAGTATGGAGATCAGAGAACTCCATGAGGAAGATGGTGAGGGCAGGTTAATGAATCCCCTGCCCTTCTCAGTATTGTGTCGGTTGCTCACTTCCTTGCTGCTTTCTGTCCCTCCACCTTTAACCCTCACCTGGCTGTCTAGGCCCAGAAGCAGCAGCATGAAGAAAAAGAGGGCAGCCCAGAGAGGAGCAACTGGCATCAGAGTGACAGCTCTTGGATATGCAATAAAAGCCAGCCCAGGTCCTACGGAAGAGAAAAAGAGGAGCAAAATGAGGTCAAGTAGACACAGAAACACTCTTGCTTCAGTGAACAAGGAACAGCTTCCTTTGCATTTCCAGTTCAGTAAAATGTGATTTGTGAAATCAAAACGGTCAACGATTGTTTTGTTTATTTCTAGCACACATTTTCCCCATCATGAAAGGCATGGTGCTACATCAAACAGAATGTCCTGATATGCTCAGCAGCATGTACTTCCTTTATTTTGTAGACTCATGCTTTCAAGGGCAGTAGATTGGTTTTTTTACTTCTGCATTGTGAAAGAGCACTGAGACGTCTCGAGATTTCATTTAGGATCTCAAGTGCTAGGAAAACTGTTTTGGATGGATTGGTATACATTTTTGTTTTGAATGAAAGCCAAGACTCTTTCCATTCTGGAAAAAACACGCTGCTAATAGGAAAGCCTCATGGAGTACACAAGTATAGCCCTGTGTATAGCCCATCCAAGGTTTCAAATCTGATTCTAAGTTGTGTGCGTATGGTGATGTTCCTGCTTTTGCAGTAGTCTGGAAATACCGGATGCACAGATGTAATGCCAATCTTTCCCTTTGATCATCTTCTCGATAGGATGAGAAGAATGATAAAAATGGAGCCTATCAAATAATTCTGGTACAGCAGCTGTAGGAGAAGCTGTAGTTGTAGGTACGGGTGGAACTGTAAGAGTCAAGGCAATTAAACTATGTTCTGCACATGACTGCCAATGTGTTTATTTTCTCCTAAAGTTGGATCTCTCCTGGAACTGGAGAACCAGCCAAGCATCTCATCCAACCCACTCTACCATCCCTGAGTTCATGACCACTCACCAGACTCTGCCACTTTGGAGATATCAACTCCCTGTTCTGCAGCCATGAAGCCCAGGATGGAGAAGACTACAAAACCAGAAAAGAAGCTGGTCCCACTATTGATCAGTGCCAGAATGATGGCATCTCTGGGGGAGAGAGAAGGCAGAGGATGACAACTGTAAAAGAGTGATCTGGCAGGGAGGGGGTTTATTGTGGTTATCCATCAGTATAAACAATACCAAGCACGGCTCCCTACCTGATCAAAAATTGATGCAATGGGCAAGTATTGACCAACATGCTCCCTACATCCTCAATGACAAACTGCTATCTGACATTCAGGGAGTAGAAGAAAGTGCATCATTACAGTTCAATCTTACAGGGTCTTGGACACTGAAATCAAACATGTTTTATCCTGCATAGGATTGGGCTCTAATGATGCAGCAGCAAGATATGGTGGCCTTTTTGCTGTGCGCACCCACCCATCGTTATGAAAGAGTTTGTGCCGAGTTGCTGAAGGAAGAAAGAGCACCAGAGGTAGAACCATGGAGGTGAAAGCAGGGCAAGGTGGGAGGAGGGTTAGCTGCTTTTTGCACGATGAGTGCGGTTACGAGAGAGGCTGTGCCTTGGAGCCCAGCACAAGCAGCAGCTGAAGAAAAAGGGGAGGTTGGAGGACCCAAGGGGATTTCATACTCTGTGCATGCATCTTAGTTAGAGATGGGCTAAAGGAGATGTTATAGACCAGCAGCAGGAGGAGTTGAGCAGGGAGGCCACAGAGCATTCAGAACAAGCCACAGAAGCTGAGTTAGTTATCCCGTGAAGGGGAGAAGGGAAAGCAATTCCAGGCAAAGCTGCTCTTGACCCTTTTTCTCAAGTACCCAATGATATCTGGGGTCGGGGGGATGTCTCAAAAATTATTAAGGGACTTGCCATTTCTCTTTGCTGCTATCTCCTTATATATTTAATGAACTTTGCATATGCAGAAAAGAGGTGAAGCAATTCTTAAGACATATCACAATGAGGTATTGTTCTTCTGTAGATATCTTCCATCACGCTTTTACCGTAACAATGCGAGTTTTAAATCCCAGTGCATTCAGTCTGATTTATCCCCAGACAAATGCGTACAAAGCTACAGCTTAGATTTTTCCAAGATGTACACCATTTGGCAGCATTTGAAGAGTACCTAAAAAATATATGTCCCATACTGTACTGTTCGGCTTAGTCAGCACAGGGGCATAATCTACGAGCACCCTTAAGCAGTCCCAGGCAGAATCAGATCCATATTGGATGTCTCTCTGCTGTATTTATTAAGATTTCAAGATTTCCCAGGAATCCCGGATTACCAACTATTCCTTTCCAGCATTGCTAAAAAGACACACCTTGTGCCAATGCGTATGAAAAGTTTCCATGCTAAAAAAAAATACATCAGTGTCCTGCAATCTCCAGATGCTCTGGGACTTCAGTTTCCAATAAGTAATAAATTACATGCTTTACCCAAAAGAATTTTTAAAAACTGTTTTCCTTTCTACAGTTACAAGCTCCAACTTGTTTGGACATGACCTCAGTATCACAGGTATGTAGGACCGTGCAGGATTGGACTTTACAGCTGACTGGAAGAACAACAGCGGCCCAGAGATTGTGATCCCTGGCTAATGAGAGAGGTATCCCGGGCGGCTTCTGCTCTTCCTAGATGTCTGCTTTTCAGGTAGCAGTTCACGAACATAACCGATCTACTAGGAATAAAATCTCTTAGAATGTTGTTGATGTCGCCCAGAAATGGAGATAATAACTGAGCCAGTGAAATGATTAATTATTAGAAATTAAGATCCCCAGAGAGATGTGATGACTGAAAAAGGTCCTCCACAATATTTCACCTCTGCTTTCCCCAAACTGGAGCCCCTCCAGATATCTTGGACTATAAATCCCATCAACTCAGGGCAGCACGGTCTATTGCTGGCGGTACCTGTGGCAGTTCAGTGGGTCTGCTGCCAAAAGGGGGGAAAGATTCTTTATCTTTTAAGATAGACCTGAGTGTTACAAGGTGTGAGAAAAACAGGCAGAGTGGGGAGGAAAAAACATTTCTCTTCCCTGCCCTGCCCTGCTTTTCCTGATTAATGTTCACCTGCAGACTGCACGAACCAATCAGGCAGACAGCTTAGTCCTGGCAACCCAGCAGAACAACGCAAGAAAGAGAAGCTGGCTTCTGCCTAGGCGACAACGGTTGGAGATGCAGCAATCCGCTGGCACCCTTTCTACTGCATGGGGAGGCCACACAGCGACTACTACACGAACACCCAGCTTTGCGGCCATTGCAGTTCAACAGGCAAATCTCCTATCAGACTGAAGGCGATGCGCAGAGCTTTGCCTGTTGAGTGTTTTCCTGCCATGGAGGCATTAAGAGAGAGAAGCCCTGCCAGGGGGATAAAGAGAGAGATGATGGCAATTCTACAAGGCACAGCATGTTCTTCCTATGCTCTGCCCCTTATGGTCACATAGGAAATGGGGTCTCACTTATAACAATTGTTGTTGAACCGGTTATAGCTGCCCAGGGCAGTGAGTGCCCCCAATCCTATGGCATACGAGAAAAAGATTTGGGTCCCAGCATCGATCCACACCTGAGAGGGAAGAAGAAAGAAAAAGAGAGAGAGATTGAGGTACGATGCGCTCGAACTCAAGGGTCCTTCCTCCGTCCCTTCTGCATACAACTGCCAACTTTTCAACCGCCCCTTGCACTCTGAACAGCCACTCATTACCGCTATTAACAAGGCATGTGGTTGATATCTGTGCAGTGAAGAGTTTCAGCTATCGCTGGTAGCAAGTCCTTTAGCCAATGAAAATGCAGTTCACTGAAGCCGAACTCTTTGCAGAACTGCACTGAGATTTGTACAACTGAAATCTTGACATTTATATTTGGTTCCTGTTTGGTTTTTTGCTTTTTTCTATTTCACAGTTGTAGCGCTTCTCCTTCTTCTCCTTCTTCTTCGTGTGCGTGCTCTTAATTCCTACCGACCACCCGGTGGTACAAAAGCTGGCTAATCAGCTGGCAGGTCTATTTCAACCCTTTCCATTCCATATGCCTCCCACTTACCTGAGGGGAAGCCAGTTTGGACCAGTCGGGTTTGAGATAGTAAATAATCCCGTCCTGAGCTCCAGGCAGCATCACCCCTCGAATAAACAGGATAATGAGCACCACATAAGGGAATGTAGCAGTGAAGTAGACAATCTATGTTGGGGAGAAAAAAAGAGAGAATGGGAATTAAGCTGGGGTGAAAAATGCTTTGTTTCTTCGCTCTATTCAGTTTAGAAGACCAAAGCAGGAGTAGGCAATCTGTCATCTCACTGAATGGCACACAAAAAAAGTGTAAAATTGACTTTAGTAGTATTTGTTTCTTTACTCTAATATTCACCTCCCTTGTAGACCACACTGCTCTCAAAAGACAGCTTGCACAAAATGTTAAACTGAATTAAATAACAGCAATTACAAATTGAATTATCCACTTAAAACATTAATTTAAAACCAGTAGCAGCCAAAATTGTTTTCCAGCCCAGCCCAGCAATTAAGCAAAGACAGGCTGCAACAGAAACATTTTCAACTCTTTCTTAAAAACGAGAAGTGAGGAAGCCTCATCAATTTCCCTCGTGGATTTCCAGTAGCCACTTTGATTGAAAATTGGCCCTGTGCCTGCACCTTTGCTGGGTGCGTGCTTGTCGTGTAACTGTTAAACAAAATTCCCCGTTGCTTATGCCAGGAAATGCTTTGTGTGTCTGGCTGCTGTCACTGTAAAAGATACAAGGCCAGGAAAAAGAATCAAAGGTGTCAGGTGCCCTGGGGTAGTTTTTAAGAAACCAAGTGACAAATGGCACATTCAGGACAAAGCGAGACCTTCCTTTCACTTGGGACGGACTTTCTTAACTTTGCAGGCATAGGAGGGGGTTAATGGGCCAGGGGAGTGGCTTTCCACTCTAGTGTGGGAAGGCTTGGGGCTCCTCTGAAGCTTACTGTGGAATTCCCAACAAGGAGACATCTGACCTGCTCCTTGGACAATTGCTCTAGATCTTCCCACGCTAGAGCATACCCCAAGGGAATATTCAGTGTGTTCTAAGGTGTGCTCTCCTTTTAGGCTAAGCAAACTTCCTGGTTATTCCCCCCCCAATTATTTGCATACAGGTTTGTGCAAAATATGCCCCCAAGAAGTAGAAAATTTTGGAACATCTTCCCCCTCCTTGCTACTTTAGAAAAATTGAGTGACTAATGGAGAGGAAAGGGAAATTGTACAGAATTAGCCCGGTGTTTCGAAATTAGTGGAATCAGCTTGGTTTCTTCATCAAGCACCACCATTCTGATGGAGCACACAGTCCTGCACCAGTTAGCCCTGCCTTGGGAACTCTTGGGAACAGTTTGAGCAGGAGAAGGAAGACAGTGCACGGGCAGAGAAAGCAACATCAGCTCTTCCAGCAATGTCAGCTCTTCCGTTAGCAGAAGGAGGTGACCGACACAGAATCTGGAATGTCTTGAAAGGACATTCAAAGAAAGAGAAAGGCACTTATGGGAAGTTCTACCTCAGCTACTCTAATGATCCAGACTGCCTTTGGATCTCATGCTCCATGATTTGCCCATGAGGTGGGCAAACCATAGACTGCATGTGGCATCCTAGTTCATCTGTAAAGCCCCACAAAATGTAGCAACCAAACTACTGATTTTCCATGGCCCAAATGTTCTGGCTGCAAAAGATGCAAAGCTATTTGCAAGGCTGAATCCATCTTGTTTGCATCTTAAACACCCCTCCTCGCACCTGAAAAAGTAAGAAAAAAGGGCCAAACACTTTCACTCACCCCCTCTACCCAAGAAGTCACAAATCATTCTGGATATGTTCCAAGCAGCTCTGTGAACCCAAAATAACACATTTTTAAAAAGTGTATGCCCTACCCAGGGAAATGTTGCCTATTGCTGATTTAGGGAGAAGCATTTGCAGCTCTGCCTCAAGTGCAAAAAATATTTCAGATGGCTGAATACACATAGATAAGGGACACGATATGTACATATGGATGTAACTTCCTTCTCTAATGAACATCTCGGTCTCCAGCACTTGCTGCTTAGCTCTTCAAGATTCTGCTCACAGTCAGAGAGGGGAAGCAGAAGACAAAGATTAAAGAATCAGCAGCTGACTCATCTCCTGCAGCATCAGGGAATTTAAAGCTACAGATATGCTCTCAGAGATGCTGACATGAAGGTCCATAACAGAGGTCCATAACCACTGAGCGAGATTAGGATTACAAAGCATTCTTTGTTGCCAATGGAAAAAGTGTACATAGATTGAGAACATATATATAAGATAAAAGTTTCAAGGAGCTGAATTTATCTTAATTTTATTCAATGATATAAGAAGCCCCATGAATGGATGACTGATAGCTTGTCCCTAAAAAAGTGGTCAGGCATAACTTCAAGAACCAACCTTCCCTCCGACCGACCTCCCTCCCTCCCTCCCTCTTTCTTTCT